TTATCCGCACACCGTGCGGATAATGCCCAAATCCGCACTGGGTGCGGAAAAGTATTACTTTGCGCACGTGAATGAGTGCGGAAAAGTACTACATTGCGTATGCTTGTAGGAACAACGTTCGTTCCTAACAAGTACGGAAAGTGTTATTCTTCCGCACGCGAATACAGTTAGGCGAACAACGCGGAGCGGAGTTCGAATAAGTTTTTGCGTGCGGAAAAGACTTTGCGCACGTGTTAGGAACAACGTTTTTCCTTCAAGCTCCATATCAGATAACAAAGAAAATAAAAAAATTCAACTTGATTGACAATTTATTGAATAATTTTTAGTTAAACTTGATAAAAACAGCTAAACAACAAACAATTACATATCAATAAAATATAATGATAAAAAATTGAATCATTCGTTTCTGATATTTATATTGAGGTGAAATACGAATATAGGGAAGAACGGTTAGAAAGTAAAAGGGATAACGGCTTCTTATAGGGCATACAATAGTCTACAGCAACTTAAATGAATATGAATGTTCCATACCAGTGAGATTTTTGGGTAGTTTCATTTATCCGCTCGCCGTGCGAATAACACCCATATCCGCACTGAGTACGGAAAATAATTACTTTGCACACGCAAATGAGTACTACTTTGCGTAGAATTAGGTACAATGTTTTTTCTACAAGTGTTTTTGTCCTTATTATTTATGTAAAAAAAAGGTTTGTGATAAACACGATTTATAATAATGCTACAAAATAACACATAAGACAGAATCATCAGATAGATCATCAAGTTAGTCCTAAATATTATCATTTTCAACAATACAAAAATCGTGCGGAAAATTAACTGTTCAACACTAGTGTGGTGATGTAACTTTTACGCACGATTTTAAAAAATAGGATGAATAACGTTACCATAGCAACACTAGCATTTACTGTGCGTTTATCGAGTGCTGCGCGTCGCATCATTTTGACAATTGTAAATGTCGAAAACAGAAATAAACAGCAAATGATATTCCAGTGAGTATGTGGAGATTTCCAGATATTTGTCTATTAATGCACGATTGTTTTATAGGCAACCATACACCGCGTGTATTCATTGTTTATGCTAATACTAGCGGAATCTGCATTTAAATCGAAAATATGGATTTTATCGACGATTTTCCGTCAACGGGTTCGCCTTTCCAAGTTTCTGACACGATTTTAATCCCTGTTTTCTCACACAAGGAATTTATTTCCTAAGTTGATCATTTTGACAAATGTCAAGTGACACTTATGTCGATCAGTAACAAGGCTACTGGGTGATTCTTAGCAGTTTCCGGATGGATGATGAATTCGCGAACCAAGTTTTCTTCATTGCAGGAGAAATGAGAAATATAGTCGACGGGAAAATTTTGTAACCAACTTGTAAATTAAAAGGCGATTAATGATCTCGAACATTAACGCACTCGCTTCGCTCGCACGTTAAAATATCTCGATCATTAATCGCCCTCATTAATACACTAGTTGGTTAAATAACTATTTCCGCACGCTCGTTGGAAATAGTTATTCACCTAACAAGTGCGGAAAGTAGTATTTGTTCGCTCGCAACGGCAGTTGCACTAACGACGCGGAGCAGAGTTTCTTATTCTCTACAATAAACCATAGTTTTGAGTGTTGATATATTTTCATTTGGTTTGTCTATTTTCCCCTTTTCCCCTCTGTCGAGTTAATTTGGCTGGCGCCCTTCAGCTCACCAAAAAAACATTTACATTTGAAATATTATAATATAGCCAAGGCATCGACTCTTTTTTTCTGCCATGTGCAACATATATTTGTTTCTCTAGGTTCGTCCAAATTTCACAAGTCCAAATAATCCATCATTTTGTATTCACCCAATTTTATTCAAATTATTACTTGGAACATTGCAAAGCAAACAACTTTTTTTTGCCTAGGCAGTAAAATTACTCCTTTTGTGCCTGTACGGTGTCATTAAGAAGTCACTTCCAATGTGATTTTGAGAAAAATATAATTTTTATCCAAATGATATGAACACACAAATTTAGAATGTAACATATGATATTATATTCTTCCATTTTAAATCAACTTCGAGATACAATATAAATGTTAGAAAATTATGATATCATTATGTCAATAAAACGACAAAAATAGTAGATTGTTTTATTAGGAACAAAAGTGACACTTTGTTTGACAAGCGAATTTTGCATTTGCGAGGCGGAGCGTTTAGCGAAGCCGAGCGAAAGCAAAATTTGCGAGTCGAACAAAGTCACTTTTGATCCGAATGAAACATGCTATTTTTTCTGCAACCGAAACAATTAATTCAAATAAACATGTGAAGTAACCACCAATGCCGTGCCATAATATGTATGCAATGCAACAAATATTGACAAATAATCCATGTGGTGAGAATATTCTACCTGCATTAACAGCAGGTTAGGTTTTCTAGGATGTTCGAATTGTAGTTTCAATATAAATACAACCACATAGTGACATATTTGTGTGTGGACCAGGTGCTCTAATGGCAAATACCGCGCCAGTGCCAGCTATAGGAACAAGACGTGGAGAATGTTAGGTTAGTGAGCATATCAACAATGATAATAGTGATTATTAATTCCTCTCCATACTTCACTGTAATTGACTCAATAATCAAATGAAGCTAAACAATATCGTTGTTTGAGACAAAAAACTATTGCTTGCCGTGATTATTCAAAAACAAGTTATCCATCCCGAGAATTACGAATGAAATACAGATCACGCAAGTATTTGAATCTTGAAGGCTTCTCTGATCAAAACAAAAATACTCAGCTGAGATGTTTATGATTTCAATACTAAACTATAATAAGGTGTATTTATATCTCCAGCATGGGTATGAAATGCCAAATCTGCTGAAATCGGAAACAAATCAGGTATGCGTCTCAACCCAAATAACCACAATGTTGTTTATTCTTGATGACGTCCAGTAGATCCTTTTTAGTTCCTAGGAGCTAAAGTTCAACTTTAGCTCCTAGGAACTAAAATTTAACTTTAGCTCCTAGGAACTGAATATGTTCCCCAGCAACTAACCTATTTTTGTGTCAGTAATAGAAACGTCAATTTAAGAGCTAATTTTGATATCAAATTGGACGACTTTTGTGTCGGTTGCAGAAAAAAGTTATGATTCAATACGCTGTTGGGTACCCAAGAAAAAAAATATGTCTACTAAAATACATACGTTGGTTGATTCAAAGAAATATTTGATTGATTCAATGAATTATTTGGTTGATTCAATGAAATATTTGGTTAATTCGATGAAATATTTGGTTAATTCGATGAAATATTTTATTGATTCAATGACATATTTTGTTGATTCCATAAAATATTTTGTTGAATCAATAAATATTTCGTTGATCCAAGAGAAATTGCAATTTCATTCGACAAATTGTTTTGTTGAATCAAATTTCACATCAAAAGAATGAACTAAACTAGGAAACTACTCGATTTCTAGCGTAGATCTCCAGTCTTTACTTCCCTTCAGCTGATGCAAAACTTTTTCTGAGTGCTAATCATCCTGAGTTCGATTTATCCAGCTGATATTCCAAATACGAAGAATCAGGCCTCACGTATATAATGAATTCGAGGCATGACGAGGCGAAATGATCGCCATCTGGAGGCGGAAATGTAACTTGATGTAGAATGAACAAAATATTTCATTGATATTACATATTTCGTTGCTTTATTCAAGCAAATGATCCGTTCGAAACGAGTTCATTGCTACATCGGAATAAGAGAACTTGTATATTGTTTCATAGATATATTCTCACCAAAATGATCATTATTTCATCAAATCAACAAAATGTTTAAAGTTGAATCAACATCAACATTATTTTGGATCGACAGCATTTGTTCTTGAGAAAACCATATATTTTGTTGATGGAATTGATATTATACTGTCGATTCAATTAGACTACATTCTTGATCTCAACAAGCTGCTTTCATGAAATAATCATGTATCTGGTTGATTCAACAAAAAATTGATCTGTCCAACAAAAATAATTCAAGCATAAATAATTGGTTGATGCAAACAATCTTTTTTTTTTTCGTGTGGGGCAGAACTCGAAAACTTTCATCTTTGGGTATCTGAAATGAATTATTTGTGAATTCCAAGTCACCTCTGAACTACAACTGTATATTACCTAGCCGGCTGCAACAGTATAGTTGATTAGGCCAAAGACTAAATTTGGAATCAAAGGTAGATTGCTTCGGAATCAAACTTTATTGAATTGGTATTGTTCAACATACTATCACGATGGCATTTCATCGACATTCCATGTCTAGGTATTATCGAAGAAAAATTCCAGTGTATACGACATAATTCAATATTCCGCATTGATAAAAATGAATAATGTACTTATACAAATTCCTGCCTATTTTTCTCTTCACATCTTACAATGACGACTGATGACACGTGGGTGCAGGAAAAACAGAATGGAAAACTATAAGAGACACATAACTTGTCCATTGTTGTGAAAATTATGTCAATCAAGCATCTGATAGGTTAGTGGTTCCTGGTCCATTTCGATTTTATTGATGTCTTTATGATATTGGGAAATCAATTAGGTTGACTCTTCTTTGCTTAACCAGACCTGGAAAATACACATTGATATCTCGATGCAGTAAGAATAATAAGAATAAACTTGATTCACATAAACCTATACAAATTATAATTTTGTACCACAATGATGAAAGTGCAACACATGAAATAGCAATGAATAAATAATTTCCATCACCGAAAAATACTGCTATCAGTATGCCATATTGATTTGTGGGAGTCGATGGGATCCTGGTAAAAGATTTCAAACTTTATCATCCACCTTCTTTGTTTTGGATGAATATTCTCGTCTGGAATTCTGGTGTCGTATAGATAATTGAAAAACATTTTGGGTAGAGTTCAAGACGCACTAATTAGATCACGTACAAACCATACTATGGAAGATACTGATCGAGCGTATTCTCTTTGTTCCAGAAATTCGCATAATGGAAACCTCCATAATGAACACCACCGACCTCTTCGAAGAGTTCCAATTCACGAACGAAACAACGAACTACATCAACTCGACATCGAGCGACTCTGCCTACGAGAACATCGAACAAATCTGTATCTCCATCCTTCTCGTTTGCTGCCTGCTAGCCATGTGCATCAACTGCGTAGTGATCATCAGCGTCAACTGGATCACCAACTCCATGTCGCCCAACCTCAAAATAAGCATCAGCCTGGCCATCGCCGACGTGGTCAGCTCCAGCATGACCGGCTTGGTATTACTGCTGGACAAGTTCGAAGTCGAGCCTAGACAGATGGGGGTGTTCCCTAGCCTCATAGAGCTAGTCAGGCTCAGCGGCATCGTCATCACCGTTCTGCATCTGCTGGCCCTGAGCTTCAACCACTACATTGGCATCTTGAAGCCGCTGCACTACAACGTGATAGTCACCAAAAGGAAGGTGACGACAGTCATCGTTATCCTTTGGGTTCTGCCGGTGGTGGTGCTGGTTGTACTGTCCACGGTGGAGAACAACGGAGTGTTACTGGAGGATATCAGAGACAACACCTGCACCGTTGAAGTCTTCTCCACTTTCGCTGCTCGACTCAGCTACAGCACCTTATTCTTCTTTCCCGTGGTGCTGATGGTGTTCTGCTACACTCACATCCTCATGGCCGTTAGGAAGCAGCGCAACAGGTGAGTGAACTTCTTCTTGATGACTGTCTAGAAACTACCTCGTTCAATATCTCCTTATTTTCATCGATGAGTACTTCATCACTGACTGAAGAATGCTGAATTCAACTCCCGCATATCACGTTCTCGGCTTGGGGAAGTGCAAAACACTAGCTAAAATGCACAGTATGCACGACCCACCAAACAAAAATGGCTGACGAACGATCGATAATGAGATTACATAGAAACCTGCTCTGAAAAACACTACAACGAGTATATACATACGTTCCAACAAGGCTCCTGAACATAAATCAAAGACATGCAGATCTGACGTTGGTACATACTGCGCAGGTGCTTTACTCAATTTTGCTCTTCGCTTGTTGATCGAAAAAGTTCTTCGGGCATCCTCAAGTACTGTCCTTTCATTTTTTGTTCATAGATTAATGCATGGTACTTCCTGGCAAGATGATTGAGGTTCCTTGAATCTCGTGGTACTATGTGGAATTCTGAGTATCACTGTCTTTCATCTGTCGATTTTTCATGAATCATGTAGCTCTGAAGTCAGCTGTCGACTATAATCACACTTTGTGAAGACAGCTTAGACTTTTTCTGCTTATATGTACTTCTACCACATCTAAGATTCGAACTAACTCTTATAAAAATGCAGACATTTTAAGAAACTGGTGAATATCCTTCTCAATGGAATGTCAGGCAGAGCAGGTTGAATTTATTATGATTACTACTAGGTTCGTGAACTGATATCCAGGATTTGTTCTACTTCGGTGAACGGATTCTGATATTTAAACGATTGATGAAATCCATTCACAGTATCTTTATACTTCTAGATGGAAGGACCTGTCGAGATCGGGCAGTTCGAGAGCAAAAGGAAGAAACGTCAACAGTCAGAAACTGACGAGGGAGCAGGCTCGGCTGCAGGGCAGTATCAAGGCCATCCACACTACGCTGCTGATCCTCGGCTCGTGCTTTGTGGGATGGATGCCGGCGCTCCTGTTCTACATAACGACGTGCAACGAGGATTGTCCGATCAACGGGGAAGCGCTCAATGCACTCAACAACGACTACAAGTACGAAGTGCTGTCGCTGCGCTTGATCGAGAATATGCTAGTCATCATGAAGATGTTCGCCAACCCGATCATCTATACCATTCGAATCAAGGAGATAAAAGTGAGTGCGATACTGGATTCTTTGAGTATTTCAGATAGTATTATTCGAGCAAGAATATTCGAGCGTGAGGGCTATACGAATAAATTGTTTTGAAACGCGCATGCAATAAAACGTTTTTTTCATAATCACATTCATTCAGAATCAAAATCACCCACATTTTACATTCAGAAACTGATTCGACAGCGGATATCACCTGTTCGCTTGAAGTGCTTTTTGTCACCTGTGAAAACTTCAGCTACCTTGTATTCACTGGTCTCTTCAGGTCTTGTGTGCTGCTCTGTATCCTTAGTGAAGAACTTGGCAGTCTTAAATGTTTGATTTGGATAGATCCGGCTCGAAGGACCCATATATTCGATGTCTGATAGATAGTGGACTGTATTTGTATGTTTATATAATATATGATGATGAAATGAAGATTGATATGAGAAATGCATTCCGAATTGCAATCCTTTCTTCATTGATTTCATTGATAAATTTTATGATTCAACAACACGTCGTCGTGTTGATAGAAGATGGAAATATCTTATACTATATAGGGCAATACAGGTACCAAACTATTATATAGGGACATATAAGTACTAACCACCACCTCAAGAATCATTGAGATTCCGTACAAAAATATCGGGGGGTGCTGAATGGTTGCTATTTTTTCATTGTTACTCGATTCCATTTAAAGAAAGTGAAGTTAAAACGCAAGAAAATCATTCTGTTCCTGATAGGCTTATCTAATCCTTGAAGAAACTGAAGAAGCAACGAGTCGATGATTGCCTGTCAGTCCAGGAAACATTGAGCAAAAGTATTTTCCGAATCCAATGAAAGAATAATTATGCAATTACATCCATGTGGACGAAGAACCCCATGGCTTTCTGAAGAGTGAATCGAGAGAATCCAAGGCGAAGAAAACTGCAGTATTGAAAAAAACATACGTGGAAGAATTTGTGACGAGAGCTTGCGATAAAGAATATTAAATGATCAAGGTAATAATATCTGCTTCGAGAAATTGTTGGCGAGAGATCTTGCGATAAAGAACATTATTTGATGATCAAGGTAATAATATCTCGTAGAGGAATAAAATATTTAGGTTGCACTAATAATGGAAGCGTTTGGTGCCTGTCGATGCTGTAATTTGACCAATTTGAAAATCTGTGATATACAAGACAAGGGCGCATATCTGCTTGTCGATCCTAGATATGAAAACCGGCATTTTACTCACGAAAACTCACGTCTGGAAAATACTAACATCCGCAAATGATATGATGATGATATATCCAAAATAAGAATGTCTATCAAGGGGAGTGACTGGTTGCCCGACTAGCGTAATTTTTTGGTTTTGGAATGTTTCTTTCCTTTTTTTGTACTCATATGGCGTTGCTCTCATATTGTCTAAGTAGAAAGTCTCCGAGGGAATATAATGCCGATATGATTTTTGTTTTGGCTAGGGTACGCTTAGTCGGCGGTCTTAGGACTGCTGGCTGGAAACTAACCTGTACTGATGAGAGTCAAAGAGCTCGACACCGGTCTGTAGGTGTCTAGCGTGGCCTAGCTAAATCGAAATCAATAGGCATTCAGGAAAAAATCACTTGTATCAGTATTCGTTTATACGAGTCGATGTATAGATTTCGGGAAGATGTAATTCAATATTCTGCGTGGCATTAGCCAGGAAAGTAGTTGTTTTCCTCCCGAAATCTACCATTGGTGTTCATTTTATGATTATTGTGTGGAAATGACTTTGAGCCTTTTTGTATTCATTTAACATTTCATTCCACTTTGAGCATTGTGGCTATTTGGTAGCAATAATTATTTGATTTTCGAACACAATCTGGTATCAAATTTATTTACCGAATACCACACGAAGTTAAATTATATATACAGTGTGTCCACCTTAAGGACTTACCACCCCTGTAAAATTGTTATTATCTGACCGATTTCAAAAAACTTTTTTTTGTTGGATAGGTATTTGAAATGTCCATCCAACAAGAGACTTATTTTATTCATGAACTGTAATCGTGACCAACTTTATTGACCCATATTTGAGAAAGTACCATTAGGGATTTTTTTTTCACAAAATACAATGATGGATTCTGGATCACGATCACTTGAAAAACACCTTTACTAATTTTTATCATCATAAAACACAGGGTGTCCGAAAAAACGAATTATGTTTTTTTTTAATAGGTGATCAGAAAATGTAGTATTGTGGTATTTTTGAGAAGAATTGATGACACATTATTATTAAGGATCACTTTGAACATATCTGTACCGAAAATCATCATTCAAAAATACGATGTGTATGAGAAAACGATTAAAAAAAAAAGTAGGCAATATTTTTTCATCAACTCAAAAAAAACATTAATTTGATTTTTCGAACACCCTGTGTTTAATGATGATGAAAATCGGTACAGGTATGTTCTGATTGATCTTGATTTATCTTTTTATTTTGAGTAAAGAATTACCAGGATGAAAAATATGGCTTACCTATCCTTTTTAATTTATTTCTCAGACACATTGTATATTCAAATAACGAAAATTGGTACAGGTATATTTGAAATAATCTTCAATGATAATTTGTGATTATTTCTTTCTGGAAAAACCACAGAACTACATTTGCTGATCACCTATTTGAAGAAAATGATGATTCGTTTTTTCGGACACCCTGTGTTTTATGATGATGAAAATCGGTACAGGTATATTTCAAGTGGTACTGATTCAGAATCCATCATCAAGTTTCGTGGAAAAAAATTACTAATAGTACTTTCTGGAATATGGGTCATTGAAATTTGTCGCAGTTGGCCACGATAACAGTCCAAGAATTAGATCACTCTCTCGTTGGATGGGCATTTCAAATACCTATCCAACAAAAAGAGGTTTGTTGAAATTGGTCGGATAATAACGATTTTACAGGGATAGTAAGTCCTTAAGGTGGACACACTGTATATGAATATATTTTGATAAGTATTATTCCTCGTCTTCGACTCGGAATAATTTTCAAAATATCCATGAGCTTGACAATTTTTTCAGAAATAATTTAACTTCAAAGGAGTAATTTTTTTCGTTTCAAATCAAAAAATCAGATCACGCCATAGGCGTTAGGTGAGCCACTTATCGCTAGCCTCTTTTTCCATGTACTTTCGTGAAGTATTTACAACAGCAGATGATAAGGGTTATAGCTGGTTATAGTATTTGTGTCTGCACCAGATTAATGAGCCAGTCGGATCTCTGTAACATTCCAGAATTTCCAGACATGTCCTGGATAAATTTGATTTGGGTAGTGCGCTGATCTGTAACTTTTGTTATCCATTATCATTGTCGTGAGATTTTGATGGAGTGTGGCCCTATAGTATGGAAGGATGGTTGAACACAAAGATCTGAATATATACATGGTTCATCATGTAAGCTGTTCTTTATATTCAATAATTCAAAAATGATTATGTTATTGTTTTATTTTTTAGTATAGATTGAAGTTCCATTTATGTATTGAATGCAATCCAAGGACTCAAAACATCCACATAATTAATACACATCAAAATCTAAAGAATTGTGCAGATTCATGTTTGACTAGAAATATCTCGTAAAATAATGACTTTATCGCTATAAAAAGAGTGCACGATATTAACGTAGAAAGTATTGGAGAATCGAAAAATTGCGATTGAATGATAATTTGGCCAGTAGCGTGAAATTTTGGAATGGATCAACCAGTAACTGGTCCCCTGTCGTACGCATCTGGTAGTATCCATAAACGTTTACTTCACATAATTCAGTAGGATGTATAGTATCTTCACTTCCGGTCAAATATGGCAATGATATACGTCAATTAGCTCCGAAGTACTAGTCATAAATGATTCTGAACACCCTGTAACTCAGACATAAACAACATTTTATCTATGTGGGTTGAGTATTCATATATTCAGCTCGAAACTTCATAGCTGAAATATTTCCAATTATCAATGAAACACCATGTAAGCAGCAGTCTCTAGCTTAGGATATTCACTTTCAATCTTCTATCGTAGATACTAACAAACTTAGCAAAACACGTTCTGAGACGTACAAAAATCGGTTTGCTTTGCAGTGAATCAGGTTAGTGTGACTTGTTCCATATTGTCACATACTGAAAAATTCCCGGACTATTTGGAAATCAGACTCTACAATATCATTCACCTCAAGAAATCAGAGAAATGGATCTAACCAAATTAAATTATTATAATCTGAATGAGTACCTACCTATAATATGAATCTAGCTTGCTACAACGGCATAGTGTATGAAATAGGAAGTGCTTACACCCCAAATTGCCCATTGGGCTTATATCACAAGAAATTTTTATGTCATAATTCGATAGAACTCACCCAAACAAGCTCACCACCGCAAACCATTTCTTGCTGTGAGCTTCCTACGTTTTAATGAAAATTATTGAAATCCCCGATTTTTCGGACCTCTGAAAACGAGACGATGATGTGACGTCAAAACCCTTATACTGAAACAAGACTATTCCAGACAGAGATGAATGATACATGATTTCTGACAGAGTGAATTAGCGCGAGATCACAGTTGAAAGAATTAATATATCAGTTGCCTCAGTCTCCGTCGGGCGTTTGGTATTTTCTTTTAACTATGGCGAGATGGGGTGTCTACGTCATAAGAGGGTTTGTTTTCAGAAGGTACTATTATTTATGATCAAAAATGAAACATTCCAGTTAATTTTTTGATCGAATTATATCGGCAATCATTATTTATGTATGAAAGGATCACTATAAACATGGTTTGAGTTAAAAGTTCTACTGAGGTGTACAGGTACACGCCCATTGTCAGCTTGTTTTCTATTTACCCCATATGTGAATCCGAGTGTGAATCTTAAGTTGTAATTGTGAATGTAATTCTCATCATCTTATGTGTGTGTGTTGATAATGTCTTGGCATATGCTGCATACTTTGATCAACTTTTTCAAAACTGACGTGTATATCCATTCTTGAAAAATTATATTCAAATTCTTCTTCTTAATTTGCTGCCTCTCTGAATGTACTCGTACTTGGTATCTGTTCATTGTGATTTTCTACAGGCTGAGATATCTGTTTTGTAATTTTTTGTCTGTTTGCAAGTGATTCCTCTACGTATTCCTTCGATACTTTCGACGATTTATTAATTGCCTCATGTCTCTAGACGCTAGTGACGAGTCAGCTGACAGCTTCTAGCTTGCGAGAACTCGCCGCGCTGACAAGTTTGCTCTACTCATTGACCGCGTTGACGGTTAAGATGAAGCGGATATGTCTTCATCATGACTGAAGACTGAAGACATTGGGAAAATGAAATATACACAAATAAAAGGGAACTCAAAGTCATTACCAAAGTTGTAGATAACGTGGTAGATAACGAGAAAAAAAAACAATTACGTTCCTGGCTATATGCAACGCAGAACATTGAATTACATCCTCCCGATATCTATGCAACGATTCGTAAAGACAAATACGCCTGCAAGTGATTTTTCTACATGCTGAGCTGTGCCCAAATTGTCCAGGAACGCTAGACTACCTACAGACCTGTTTCGAGCTGAGGGCTTTCATCAGTGCAAGAATGCCTCCAGATGACTTCTTGACCGTCATCTGGTGCGAACCTGACCCAACCTGAACACATCCCAGCAGTTGATACCCACGAGGCGTTCGGCATCTGCGAGATGGAGACAAACGCCACCTGAGTAGAAGGAAAGAAACGCTCCAAAACAAATTTTCATTCCAGATGATATGGGAGTGGCTGCTTTTTCAACAAGGAAAAACCCAAATACTAAGTGTAGAATGAAATGGTCAGAAAGAGGGAGAAACTCAAGAGCATTACCACATAAGTTCATAAAATGAATGGAAATGGTAGAAAACGAGAAGAAAACATCTACTTTTAGGGCATATGCCACGAAAAACACTGAATTTCTTCCTCCTGATATCTAGGCAACGATTAGTAAAGACGAATACAGCTGCAAGTGATTCT